CTAGAAAGGAAAAGCGCGGTATAGTAGCAGCATCGATCGAGGTGCAAATGTGAAGGATGATCTCACAAAACTGTACAAATGTGGTGAATATCTCTGCATATCCGCCAAATTAAATAGCCGCCAATGTGCCAAAAATGGCAACATCGCCAAATTGAGTAACGCCAAATTAACCCAATCTACAGTAGTTCTATTCATCTACAAAGAAAGGCACACACATTACACACAACTCCGTTCTAGTATCAAGGGGCAGATTTATTAAAATCATACATCTCCAAGAATAACCACACACATTACACGCAACTTTGTTCTAGTTTCGGTTCGGAGGAGGGAAAGATTTATTAAAATTACACATCTCTAAGAATAGCTACACACATATAACACTTAACTCTGTTCTACTATCAGGGGGATTTATTAAAATCATACATCTCCAAGAATAGCCACATATATATTACACGCAACTCTGTTCTAGTATCAGGGGGCAGATTAATTAAAATCATTCATCTCCAAGAATAGTCACACACATATTACACACAACTCTGTTCTTGTGTCAGGTTTGAAGATTTAAAATGATCACACATCTCCAAGAATAGCCACATACATATTACACACAACTCTGTCCTTGTGTCAGGTGTGAAGATTTATAATGATCACACATCTCCAAGAATAGCCACACACATATTACACACAACTCTGTTCTTATGTCAGGTGTGAAGATTTATAATGATCACACATCTCCAAGAATAGCCACATACATATTACACACAACTTTGTTCTTGTGTCAGGTGTGAAGATTTATAATGATCACACATCTCCAAGAATAGCCACACACATATTACACACAACTCTGTTCTTATGTCAGGTGTGAAGATTTATAATGATCACACATCTCCAAGAATAGCCACATACATATTACACACAACTCTGTTCTTGTGTCAGGTGTGAAGATTTATAATGATCACACATCTCCAAGAATAGCCACATACATATTACACTCAACTCAGTTCTACTATCAGGGGGATTTATTAAAATCATACAACTCCAGGAATAGCCACATACATATTACACACAACTCTGTTCTTGTGTCAGGTGTGAAGATTTATAATTATCACACATCTCCAAGAATAGCCACACACATATTACACTCAACTCTTTTTTATGTCAGGTGTGAAGATTTATGATGATCACACATCTCCAAGAATAGCCACATACATATTACACACAACTCTGTTCTTGCGTCAGGTGTGAAGATTTATGATGATCACACATCTCCAAGAATAGCCACACACATATTACACACAACTCTTTTTTTATGTCAGGTGTGAAGATTTATAATGATCACACATCTCCAAGAATAGCTACATACATATTACACACAACTCTGTTCTTGTGTCAGGTGTGAAGAATTATAATGATCACACATCTCCAAGAATAGCCACATACACATTACACTCAACTCTGTTCTACTATCAGGGGATTTATTAAAATCATGCATCTCAAAGAATAGCCACATTCACATTACACACAACTCTGTCCTTGCGTCAGGTGTGAAGATTCATTAAAATCACTCATCTCCAAGAATAGCCACACGCATATTACACACAACTCTGTTCTTATGTTAGGTGTGAAGATTTAAAATGATCACACATCTCGAAGAATAGCTACATACATATTACACACAACTCTGCTTTAGAATGGGGGGGGGGAGATTTATTAAAATCATACATCTCTAAGAATAGCCACACACACATTACACACAACTTTGTCCTTGTGTCAGGTGTGAAGATTTATAAAGACCACACATCTCCAAGAATAGCCACATACATTTTAAACACAACTCTGTTCTAGAATGGGGGGGGAGAGATTTATTAAAATCATACATTTCCAAGAATAGCCACACGCATAAAACACACAACTCTGTTCTTGTGTCAGGTGTGAAGATTTATAAAGATCACACATCTCCAAGAATAGCCACACACATATTACACACAACTCTGTCCTTGTGTCAGGTGTGAAAATTTATAAAGATCACACATCTCTAGGAATAGCCACACACACATATTACACACAACTCTATTCTTGTGTTGTGTGTGAAGATTTATTAAAATCACACATCTCAAAGAATAGCCACACACATATTACACATAACTCTGTTCTTGTACCAGAGCAGGGAGATTTATCGAAATCACACATCTCCAAGAATAGCCACACACATATTACACATAACTCTGTTCTTGTATCAGGGGGAGGGGAAGAATTATTAAAAGCACACATCTCCAAGAAAAGCCACCCATATATAACGCACAACTCTCTTCTTGTATCAGGGGGAAGATTTGTTTTAATCACACACCTCCAAGAATAGCAACGCACACATTGCAGTACACACAACTACAGATTAAAATTACACATCCCCGAGAATTGCCACACACATTGATCACACAATAATATGGCAGCCACAGCAGTACCTAAAACGAAGAAGGTCAAAGTAGAACAACATCCCGAGTTCCTTGAACTGGTCTATACGTCCTTGTGATCTGATGTTTTTATTCTTACATGTATTGTACATTTCATTTGCATTTAATGTATTAATTTAATAAAATAATGAACTGTACATAATGTAAATGCCTCTTTTCGTGTTTAGTTTTTGGGTAATGTGAACGAAAATATCCTTGCTGTATATGTAAAAAATCCCGACCGTATTAATGAATATCCCGAAAATATTCAGAAAGTATTCATAAATCTCCGGAAAAATGGTTGAATATTCAGCCGTATTTGTGAGTAACCGAATCATATATTAGTCGTATCCCTAAGTATACGTGAAAAAACGAGATGTATATCAGTAGTATCCAGAACTGTGGATATTTCAGGATATCAGTGTTCCGTCTCTCAATAATATCCGTGAATCTCCAAATTCGAGATACTCATCGTAGTTATCACGGATTCTTAAGGATACGGTCCATATTCCTATAATATCTCGCAAGTATCCAGGCAGGATTCTTTATCATTTTTCGCTGTGCCGGAGTTTACTAAAGCACGTTAGTGGAGGAACCAACCACAGTCTCACAATCTGTCTCCGGCAAGAGCGGCCAGAGAACCAACCCATGCCAAGGGCCGGTAAACGGTTGGACCTTCGGACCGGGTGTCCGTAGTGACAATGATCAACAACTCCGTACCTGGGGCTCGAACGCGGGACCTCCGTATCCCACGACGTTCAACCGCAAAGTAGCCTCAGTCTACGCCACTAGGCTACCCTGCTTAGGTGTCAAAACTGCTAAAAAATAATGTAGTTGTTACAATTATTTGCTTGGATAAACATGATATTACATTTCTTAATTGATTAATCTAATTTAGTTGGAATCGAAGTTCGACCAACGATCATGCCAATGCAATCAACAACTCTTGCAAAGATGTGTACGGGAGTCATAAAGACAGAAAGTACAAGAATCGTGATCAATGTAAAGTATAATATTTTAGACACATATTTGAATATCGGGTAGGAGAAACATTCCAAAATGAAGACGAATCATTTAGAACATTTGATTTGTTACCAATAGATCAAATGCGTCTCAAATAAATGAAATAAAAGATATCGCGGGCCAATAAAGCCGATGAGTGAAAACAATTACAGTTGACGCATCTAGATCGCTCAATATAACGGTAAGTGAAGAGGTTTGTGTAAATACGTCGAGGAAAATAAGCTATTTCGACGCTTGAAATAATCTGATTACGCTTATTGTTAATTACGCGAGGCTATATTAAACCCAAGTGTTGTTCGAACAAAAACAAGAAAACTGAACGACCTATTATGGAACTCTTTACTTCAGTTTCACAGTGTTCAAGATATTTCCGCATGTTCAAAAACACAAAATTTATATTTTAGGCTATCCATATTTTGTCAGATATCTCCAATTCATATCACAGGGAAAACATAATCATGTTTCCGAAAATAATTCGGACACAGAGTACAGAGAATAGCCTAGTGAAGGCATCTAATTCTACAGAATCAGACTTTTTGGGGAATGCGTTGAACGGGGACGTACCACATCCTTTCAGGGCTTAAATATGTACCATTATAAGGTTTATTTCTCTATTTTGTTCAGGTAAATAAGATATATAAAATCGCAATAATAACTTTCCAATGGTATCCTTAACGTGTGGCAAGTCATGCTTTACCACGATGAATAAATGCACATAAACCTTTGGTTTGTTAAATCGTGTTTTTAAACTAGAACACACAATGCTTGATTTCTCGGTTATTAGACGGACCAATTTCATTTTTGTATTTAACATGTTTAATTTAATAACGATAAGATGGTAATTGGTTTTTATTACTGTGTCGCTGTTCTTTTTTAATCATGACAACAGAACGCATGGAACATCGTTTAAGTCCATCGCAGAAATGAATGTGACACAAATCGTATATGATAGAACTCATTAAAACTGGAAGACTGATAAATCCTGAGAAAGTAAAGTGTTGTATGTTCCACGATAGCCCATGGTTGTACCAATGAAAACTTTGGTTTATTCTATAATTATTTTATTTTTTTTAATATCAAATAAAAACAATTTACATACAGTTACATTCAATACATACATACAATGTACACTACAATACAGATCAATAGAAAATGAAAATGAATGGGACGGATATTCATATTTGGCTATTGCACATCATAATGTGCATATGTGGAATTGTCACTATTCATTCATCTCAATTATAGGCTCCAAACAGCACTGTTTCTTTACTGTAATTCAAATCTGTAAAAATAAAGTTTACTGTATTCCTGCTATATTCCTTCCTATTCTGATGACCTTACTAGCTTATATTGACGTTGAGTTATGATGTACGACATCCAAATGTTTTGGTAGGTCATTTCTCAAGAGATAGCTGAGTTTAAACTGGTGTTCTTTTGGAACTTTTTCTATATCACGAAAAAGAAGTGGTGACATATTGTTCAAACCACCATGTTTTCGAAAACCAGCATCAAGGGACAGTATTTGGCATCTGTAACACTTGTTACACTTTTTAGAAGGTAATATCTTGGGTCTCAATATAATGCCTTGTTATTGAGGAAGCTACCAACTTCTATTTTCCTCATTTAGTGTAAAACTGAACTTCCAACAGTTTCTAATTTCAGGGGTTAGACAATGTCACATGACTTATGTGGTGTATTCTGATTGGTCGAATTTTGCACATATTGCCAAATTTTGTTAGAGATTCCCTTTAGTTCTTGTCAGGTAGTCCTGTATCGTTTTCTCAGATTGAGTTTTTAAATTGTCTATATGAGAATTGATGACTCTCTCCAAGTCCCTGGTTCTTTCTTGTTCCTCATTCAAGTACTCAGCAGTCAACATGGATGTGGTGGAGAAGTACTGAAATAAAAATTCTGATTGGTTAGACCATGTCACATGACTTATATGGTGTATTCTGATTGGTCGAGTCATTCTAATTAACCTTGCTCCTTCAAGTACTCAGCAGTCAACATGGATGTGATGGAGAAGTACTGAAATAAAACATTCTGATTGGTTAGACCATGTCACATGACTTATATGGTGTATTCTGATTGGTCGGATCATTTTACATAACCTTGCTCATTCAAGTACTCAGCAGTCAACAGTGTGGTGAAGTAGGCCTACTGAAATAAAACATTCTGATTGGTTAGACCATGTCACATGACTCATTCATGTGATTGGTTAAACCATTTTACATAACCTTCTTTGTCATCCAATCAAGTAACCTATATTCAACAAGGATGTGGGGGAGATATACTAAAATAAAACAGTCTCATTGGTTAGATCATGTCATGTGTGTAAAAAGGTTTATAAGGTGAAATAAAATATCAAAGGCTATACAAGAATGCTGTATAGTGGTTACATGAATTTAAGGTACATAGTATATACACACCTCTTCTTGATTCATGCCATCGTGATCAGATGCATACTGGGAAAGACCTTGGCGTTTAGGTGGACTTTGAACAACACCGGAAACATTTTCAACAAATGATGTCATGGCCTCATTTTCACCTTCTAGCTCTGAAAATACAATCAAAGGATCTAGTGCACCCGCCATTATGATCTCCCCATGAACAAAATGAATCATTTTTAGGTGTAACATAAAGAATACAATGCCACATAATACTGTGGAAAATATTTAAGCGTTTGGACCCACATGGGCTGAGGTTGAGGTCATTAAGTTCAGCAAGGGTGTATTGACTTGTCATTGGATGTGCTCCATTGACTTAACATGTGGATATCATCAGATTTTAATGGAGGCCATTGGTTTCTATTGATTTTCACAAAAATACCTAAAATACACTATGACCTGAATCGATTGCAAATTAAATAATTTAACAATATGACACAAATGGTATATCACATCAGATGTGCAAATATAAAGTTTGCAATCGATTCAGGTCATACTTCAAATTAAAGGCTAAGACATTTTTTTCATCATTTTTTTCCTACAAAATGGCTATAGGAAAATGCTTCAAAAGCAACTTTTACACTTATGAAATCCCATAAAACTTTGTAAATCCAAAGATTATACTGTTATGTTTCATTAATTAATAACATATTTGGATAAGATGTAGGGATGTGTAGGATGCAAATGGATTTTGACAGACACAAAAACACTTCTTGGTTTGGCATCTCGACCCCTACACTTTATGATTGAATATTGGCCCTAATAAGTGGCCCATTCATCAATACAGTGCTGAATATAGGTCAAAAAGATACTAGTGTACATATAAATGTAATAATAAAAGCAGTATTTTTATTTTGAAAAATCAGATGAATTATTTTTTTCTCGTGGGGAGATCCCAATGGAGGGTGTATAAGGTCCTTTAGATACTGTTCAATTATTTTTATTTAAATAAAACAATAATTGCATTTTTACAGTCACAACACATCAGGCCCGTAGCCAAAAATTCTTTCAAAATCATGCAGTTTTTCACCATTTTGAGCACTTTTTAAGTGATTTTGTGCAATTTTTGGACCAAAATTGTCACAAAAGAATCCACCCCTGGAATTTTTCAAAAAGTGAACCCCCTTGGCAAATCCTGGCTACGGGCTGCATATGATCAAGTTTACATTGAGGTGGAAAGAGTGTTATTAGCAAGAAATAAAGTAAACAGACATGTAGTGAATGTTGTAATTGGTATAAATATGCAAGAAAATCATATTCTTCATTGAAATCTTAGAGAGAAATGGCCTGAAATAGCCATCAGAAATATAAAATCAAGGCACCAAATCATGGCCTTTCTAAGCCACCTACTTCTCAATGACTTATCTTGATTGTTTATTTCAACTTCCAGTTGAGAGTTGGTGGCTTGTAGAGCTTGAATCTTTTGTTCATATTGTTGTAAAGTGGTTTGGAATTTGTCAGCCATCTCAGCTAGACGTCTGTCATTGTCGAATTGCATAGCTTGGATCTTTCTGGAACACACACAATATCACATGTTAAAGTGATATTCAAAGGATATTATATCATACCGGGACATCATATCAAAATAAAATTGGAATTTGTAAGATATCACAGTTTGACGTTAATCATTGTCAAATTGCATTGCTTGGATGTTTCTGAAATGAACAAAATATGAAAGTTTCACGACCCAAGGGTTCCCTTGGGGGAAAGAACTAATGCACCTTTCAAAGTTTTGTGTAAGAGGTGGGGATTTTGACAAAATGAAAATTAAGCTGTCAAATTTCCAACCCTAGAAGCCATAATAGCTGATTGAATAAAGTCACAATTTTGATTACCAGGAGAGTGCATTTCAGGGATGAAGTTCTATGTCAAAATTCTACACATTGGGTCAAATTCCTGACCCTCCCAGCATGGGGGAGGGGATCTCACACAAGCCTTTGAATGGTGCGTAACTTGTGAGCAAACTATACTAATGTACATGTACTGTATAATGTAGTGAAAATAATTGAAGACAGAAACTAAATTGTGACAAATTCGATGCCCAGTGTGGAAATCGAACCTGGGACTTCTCAGTCAATAGGGTCATGGTCTACTTCACTGAACTGTAAACACATAAACTGTAGGTGCCGCCTGTTCACCATGTTTCATTATATTAAATGAAGGACCCACGGTCCTGTGCTCACACAGGTTGGAACCTTCAGAGGAATTTATATCCTGACTTTCAAACAAAAATATTGATTTGGATTTGTAGTCTCGAACTTTGAGAAACTTAGATAGCATAGTTGTGTGACCTAGTTTGATGACCTTTGACCTTGAAAATTTTACTTATTCAGAGCTCAGTAAGGTCTTTTGTGATTAAGCTGACCAAAATTTACATCCAAAAATCAATTTGAAAAATCAACTTTTTTGACCTTTCGAAGGTCACTGAAGGTCAAGTAAAGGTCAAATCCTAAAACTAATGTCAGATTTGAACTCCTGGCAACTTGTAGATGATTTTCAAAAAAAGATTTGGTCAAATTGAAGCAAGTTGAAAAATAACTTATTTTTACTGTTTTTCGACGTCAAATATCTCAAAAACTGTAAAAATTTGATGCTGACATATAATGAGAAATATGTAGGGAATGCTTAAATCTATTAATGATGTATATTGCAGGAAATGATCGAGTATAAGGCAAACTTTAAGAATCTTGTCAATCACAAAACCTGCCATTGACTTTAAAGTCCTACTTTTTTTCAAATTTTATCGAGTAAACACCAAAAATCGAATTCCAAGAGCTTTGAAATCTTCAGAGGACATAAGTTGCATATACACCAACTACTAAAAGTTATTTGAAAGTTCTACTTCAACAAAGTGTCTAGTATTTACAGAAAATTTGACTTTTTGACGTCAAAATCCGCAATTTCTCGGAAACCGGGTGAACTTGGGAAATGGCGATGATAGGTCAAATAGGCATTATGGATATGCATAAAATGAATGTGGATATGACTCAATCCGAATAGCAGTTTTAATTTGTGCGGCCAATGTTGACAGACGGACCAATGGACGGACGGATGGACGGACTGACGGACGGACCAACGGACGGACGGACCAATGGACGGACGGACGGACGGACCAATGGACGGACGGACGCCTGGTCGATCCCATAGGCTCACTGTGTGAGCCAAAAAGAATGTTGTTGCGTTTTTATGGATGTAATCAGTCAACATCAACAAAATATTACGGGTTTAACAAGAATGCTACTACAGATCTGACAAACCATTTCACGAGATTTCCATTCTCTTGATCATCTCAATGACTTTTCAATGTGTCTCTAACATGTCAATGTGTCTCTAACATGTCAATGTGATCATTCCCCCTCTCTAGTAAACCTCCAAATACCTTTGTTCCGTCTGTCTTATATCTTCTATTGCTTGCTCAGTAGTGTATCTGGTTGATCCCAGACTTGCCCTATAAGTGTCATCACATACTTTTAGTTGGTCTTTTAACTTGTCCACATCGTCTCTGAGTACCTTGTTCTCTTCCTAAAAGAAATAAAATTCTTACAACACCTGGTGTAGCTTAATTGGCATATGTTTGACATCGCCACAATCTCAAAGGAATTTTTTCACAAATAATTCACCTTCTCATGTCTCATTTATTGCTAATCTGAGTGATATTTCCATGAGGCTTTGGACAACAATCTTAAGATTTATTCATTATAGTTAATACATCTGAGTTGAAAACCACATAAGCAGCCAAGAAAATATTAAATAACAGTCAGTAGGAAACGATTCTTTTTCTGGTTTTCTGCATTTATGATTACATCGTTTCTTTGGCAAAATATATAAGCTCCAATTCCAAGAGGAAATCTTTAAATGAAGCGGCATTGTGGAGTTAATAAGTTCTCTGTGATAATTTTATATGTCACTCAAGGGGATCCAGGTCCAGACCCAGTATTCACCTGAAGTTTGGCCAGTGAAAGTGTATAAGAGTTCTGAAGTTGTCTCAAATGGTCCTCAGCTTCAGCCATGTCAAGATTCTTGTCTTTTTGTCTCATCATAGTCTGCATTAAGTGTCTGTTCTCAAGTCTCAATGCTTCTAACTGTGCATTAGCAACCTGTAACATAAGATGTATTTTGATTGGTTAAATCATGTCACATGACACATTTAAGTGTGTTGTGATTGGCTACATTATGCCACATTACTCATCCCAATGCATTTTGATTGGTCTATTCATTTCACATGACCCATACAAGTGTACTGTGATTGTTTACATTATGCCACATTACTCATCCTAATGCATTTTGATTGGTCTATTCACGTGACTTGACCCATACAAGTGTATTGTGATTGTTTACATTATGCCACATGACTCATCCCAATGCATTTTGATTGGTCTATTCACGTGACTTGACCCATACAAGTGTACTGTGATTGGCTCCATTATGCCACATGACACTCCAATGCGTTCATATTGATGCATATATGTCAATTAACCTACTAAAACATATTCAGTTGATTGATAAATGCATGAGGAAAACATCAAGGTATGGCATTCTGTTATTTAGTCGTAATGCAGTTTTAAGGAGGGAATTCATGAAATACCCTATTATCACCCACATATTTACCTTTCAAAACTCCCTGGGGATTTTGTATTTGAGACAACTCCTACTTGAGAATTTTGGAGATGCACTTGGTGTTTATTAGAGAGAATACAGTAACTGTGCAATGATTATTACCTATAGAATATAAGTGTCGTTATTTAACGGGTTTGATCTCGGGTCATAACTCTTTTAGCTGGCAAACTACCAATTACAATTAAATTGTGATAAAATTTGTGGCAAACATTATTTAGATGTAAAACGCAGGGGAGGCTCTTACACCTTACACATATAAGCCCCCAGAAACACAAAACGTAATGTAGACGAAATTTAGTGACCTCCATTACACTCCCCATGTTTCTTTTAACCTCAATGGCTCTTATGACATGATAAGATTCTCTAAGACATCTCTGTGTGATAACAAAACATGCAAGTCAACAACTGCAAAACATTGCCGAACAATACAGCTGGCTTTAAAATGGGCTCCTTTTTACTGTTCATATTGTTCATATGTGCTGTCGAGATTACACCATCAGTCTCATGGTCATCATGCAGAGGTCAGTAAAATCATTTAATATACTTGTACGTAAATTGATTATTTCCAGGTATATTACAAGCTTAAGGGTTCTATGAATTTCTAGTTTTCTATAATTTATGTACTGAAATCACTGTGTTATTTCATTTGTTTTAATTGTATTTTTGTGCATTTCCTACAATAATGTACAATCATGTACTAATGAAAGTATATATTATGTTTTAACATCATCTTATTTGATCTATTATATTTCAGTTTTGGCTCATTTTTGCCGATATACATTTCCCTTCTTGTTGGAACTAGCAAAAGGTTCGATTTAATATAATATCCATAAGGTAAAATATGGTAAACACCCAATTAAGCTTTTTTCTTGAACATTCTAGGTGATTGTTATTTTGGTGATTATTTGCTGGTAAGGCGCCACTACTATCACCCAACATGTCCGTTACTTTTAAAGCTACATGGACATTGGGCAGTCAATTCTCATGAGCCTTGTTTTTCTAAAGCCTGTGAACTTGGTGGCAACGTAGTGCACTTTAGGCGAGGGAAACAATGCTTTATATACAAGTAAATAGTATTTTTATTTACTAAGACTCATTTTATTACAACATTTATTCATTTGTTGCACCTTTCTTTACAAAAGCATTTTACAATTCACAGTTCACAATTCACAAAATGATGATTACTAAGTAATTTCGTTTGCACATTGTATATTTCTATCATAAATAATATACTGTAAGTTGCTTTAATTTGGCGGATTAGGTTGGATTGGGCAAATTTTGAAATTTTGGTTGCTATTTAATTTGGCGGATATACCTATCTGTAAAATGTAGATATAAGAGGGTTCATACAAAGATGCAAATAATGCTCCCATGTTTCAAAAGAATAGCCAGCAAAAATTATTCAATATTGACATTTTAGTGGGGAATTTTCAAATGTTTTTGTCTTGCGAAGGAATCCCCGGGGATTTAGTCAAAACATTCGTGAAGACTTAGTTAGGGGGTGGTCATCAATCCGCCAAATAAAAAAGGCCGCCAAATTAGAGCAACTTACAGTAGTATTTGAATTAAAGATCTAGTGGAAATAAGTCGTAATAAAGAATCCCTAAAAAGGAAAATTTTACTTAGTAAATGATTCAAAGTGTCTATCCAGTCATGGGTGGTTGTGGCTTTCTCTGGGCACTTTCAAGTTAGATACCCATTTTCTTTTCTCACTCATTTTACCCTTTCCCACTGGATTTTGAAATACAATAATACCTGTATATCGGAACACCTCTCAATGTGAACAATTTCTCTTGAACAATTTTGTTATCTCCTGTTGACTAACATATCAAGAAACCTTGAAATGTGAACAGCAGAAAACTCTTTGGCTGCTCCCAGTGGTGTTTTAATAAGACAAATATGTAGGCACAAGTACTAAAGGAAAAAGATCAATAATTGTGACAGACAACAGGAAAGAAAAATAAAACAACTTAGAGTATACCAGTCATAAGGAAAACAAATGCCACCAATTTCAAACCATAATCTTACATGAAAAAAACAATGTCTAATACCCCTCTCCCCCACTGTTCAAGTACCATTATCATAATCCAAGACCGTAGCATCAAGGGACTTTTCATTTATACTGAAGTCATTACAAGATTTACTGTATGACAATTTTGTGCTCTTTTAAAACAGATGTGAATCAAATGAGGCCAACACTGACTGGGACTACAAATGGCAACACAGGGGAATATGGGGACTTGTATACGCAAAACCTCATCCTTCCACACCCAACTGCGCCAACTCCATATACATGCGAAGAACCTGGAGTGAGACAGAAAATCTGAAATCAACCTGCATACCTATTAGACTACATACCAATATTACCCTGACAGATTGCATGGCGGCGGCATGTTCCGATAAAGCCAATGTGTTTGACTACTTTGACAATGATCAATGCGAGACAAAGCATTGTCGATGGAATTCAACCATTAATGATTATGAGTTCATGTTTAATAATGTTTCGGACCAACCAAGGTATGATGTTTATGGTCTTAGACATACAGAACATTGTGACGTACTAACACCATCCATCCCAGTACCAGCAGACTTTTTTATTCTGTGTCCCATGACTGGTTTTTTCTCATTCCCAAGCCAACATCTAGAGGAACTTCTTTGTCAGTCAGGTTCAAATAATTTCCTTGAGACAATTACACCGAATGTAACTAATACAGTCAAAAGTTACCGCTGCAAAAGCAATCATGAAGGTTTGGGATGGGCGAATGCAAATGACCAGGATGTGTGTTTTAGCAGAGAGCAAACAAATAAACTTTTCGTGCTTCCATATCCGGGAACGCCGATCTGCAAGCACACCATCTATACATTAAAAAGAATCCGCAAGCACTGTCAGATGTCAGACTGTGTGATGCTACCACATGAAAGAAACGCAACAGTATTAGACTTGAGGCAATGTATGATGGTCGCCTGTGAACGGGGTGCGAATGTGATCAACTACCATAACCCAGAAAATTCGCCAGTTGTGGTGTGTGACTTAAGAGTATGTGCCCCTGCAAACAATGGACACCAGTATGATCTTAGACTGAAAACATCTTTTGGCTATGATATATATATGCTTGATTTTGAACTACCAATCAAAAGAACAACTCCCCAGTCTGCGACTAGGGTCACCACAGAAATAACTCAAGGTCCGACATATACTAATGTTATGACTACAAAAATCCCAACAACAACCCGTGAAACAACCCCCAGAGCGTAAGTTCATATATACATAATCATTAAGTAAATGACAAAACATGAAGGGCTACATATGAAGCATGTAATCCAGAAACACAAAACTCATAGAAATTGCAGGAAGGGCAACTTGAAAAAAATCAAATACTGATAAGAACAGCAACCAACCTCATTACCATTTACTAAGTACAAAATAAAGGCCCTAAAGCAGTATTTGAAAACGTTTCATCCATTGGGTATATCTACATAGGCTAGAAATGAAGCATATAGTACTAAAAGTTCATCTTTTCCTTCTAAAAACAACAAATACTAGATATTACGAGTAGAATTCAAGATTAGCTCAATTATATTAAGTATGGTCTCATGACAGCATTACATTTAACATTCAAAGTCAAGTAGTTCTGAAGTAATAGAAAAGTTAAAGGGGCACTATGTAGTTTTTTTCATTATTTTACAACCGAATTTTAAATTGTTAATTTTTAAATAATGTGAATACCAAATTCTGTTCTCTCATTTTCTTGTAAGTTAAAATGATGAATTCTGCAACTGAAACTAGAGAATTATGTGAAGCAATAAGACCATGTTTGCGCAAGTTAAACATGAAAAATATGACAAAATATTTTATCATTTATTCATTCAGACAGAAAAGTACTATTATAACCCAAATAAAACAACAACAAAAAAGTAAACTGAAATAATATTTCGGCATTTGGGTCAATTCATACCAGGATTGAGGTACTGAAATTATATACGATTCTGCATATATGTGGGCAATGATGAAATCTGTCTGCATTCTGTGGAAAGGGAAAAGTGGGAAGATTGATAAGGGAACAGGTTGGAACAAACTATTTTGTGGTGATAAACAGACTCTTTTATTTATTTTACAGTCTTTTTTATCAGAATATTGTTTTATTTTCGAAGTTTACGATGAATGAGAAGTATTGACCCATTATTTTATATTACATCTTTAACATGATTTACTTCATCTTATCTTCAAGACAACCCTTAAACCACAAGTAACATGTAATGAAATATCGGCAAACATTGTTTGTTTCATCCCTTTTATTCTTTGATAATAATCATATAGCCTTGACTAATAAGGTGAAAATTTGATTTTTCTTAAGTAAGAAACTAGATATAAATAGCAATTATCTAATGAATATTCACTTCCAGATGTATATGCTCCTTTGAACTCGCACCTCCATTTGTGAACTCCACCGACAAAACAACAGAAACACCAGCCCAAGAATGGCTTAATGTGTACACTCTCCCTCAACTATTGTACAATAACACTGAAGATGGCTGTGATGATTGTACAGAACTACTGAGGGAATGTCCACATGATTGTCTTAGCTCTGGGTCTAACTTCTGGGGAGAAGAGGGGCTGGACAAAATGATACATGCAGAAGGCCCAGGGGGTGTCCAAGATGTGGCTCTAGGACAAATCATGTGTCAGAAGATTTACATGGAGGTTCCACCACCAGGCAGACAAATATGGCTACATTATGAGCCTGGTACTTGTGGGAGAAGAATGCAAGTTACAATCTTTGACATGTTGTGTTGTTTTATATATGAACATCCATTTCTGGGGCAATTTGCGATTTGGAATCGAGGATGCACTATGGATTTTTCACTTGAATAACCTGTGGCACAACAAACATATATTTTGTAAAATAAGAAACCGCTTAGATATTGGAAAGCCTGCTGTGTTATATAGTCAATGCAACACAATTTTTAGAGAAACCATTTAAAATTCAAAATGTTGAATATACTGAAGACAAATAAGCTACAAATTGATTGTTCTGAGATAATGTGTACATATTTGAAATTTAAAATCTGAACATGCACAAAAACAATTTTGAAAAACCATGTGTTAATGTTCAATTTTTTATTCTCTATAACGAGTCCTTGGCACCCAATTCAATATTGATTTAAATCAAAGCATCATTTCTGTAGTTTCCAATACACATCCACATCAGAACTATAGTTAGGAGGTGACCACATCTTCCATTTGTCAATATCCAAGTTCTCATTTGTTGTCACCCTGTAAAAACAATCATTTAAATTATTAATTAATTATTGCATCACAAAACTGTTTGACATTTTAGCTCTCAACCTTAAATGTTTCCTGAATGGCTTAATCTTCAAAAACTTTTTTCTAAGTACAAACATAACTGCTTTCAAATAATAAATGATTTCTTTGATTCACCAATAGATGTCAGGAAAGCTTTAAATTATTGAAAGTTACCAATCAAGAATTTTCAACAAGAAGATGTCTATACCTATATGGCTTATATCCCATCTCAGTTAAATAATGAATCATGTTTGGGATACTACACTTCTCTAGTACTATCTTGAAGTCGTTGCCCATCCAGCGTCCTGGCCACTCCATGAGGATGTAGGGAATGTTCAGTGTCTTGAAGAATTCTTTGGATTGCTCCATCGCTTCACACTCATAACCTTGAAATAAATATTTGGAGTTTTGTGATCAAAATCATTTCTCAAACTCTGATTACTCGCAAATTGAAGTACAGTAATTTAATTTAATGAGACTGTTAAAATGGGGTACAGTTATCCATTAAAATGAAACTTTTGTTTAAATGGGGTACATTTATTGATTTGAAAAGGTTTTCAGCAGGGGTAGAGTAATCAAACTGAATAAAGTATTAAAAATAAACTAAACAAAACAATTAGACAAACAGAGTGTCTTATGCATTTCTAGGTGTTTAAGGTATAGTAGAGTGTACTTTGTTGCTTAGCAAAAATACAAGCTAAGTGACTAAACTAAACTACTTGGACAAACTACTTTTCATAATGACTTCAGTGACAGTGAAATGTCCCTTGGACCTGGATAATGATGTGATAATGATGCTCAAATAGTGCAGATTTGGGGTATTGCATATTGTTTCTTTTCACTTTGGATTATGGTTTTGGATAGATGGGGTTAGTTTTCCTTCTGATTAGTATACTCTCTTCTTTCTCTTGATGTGTTCTGTAACAATTTTTCGTCCTTTCTATATGGCACTTTTTCAAATTTTTAGAACTGTAATCAGTTCACTTACAAAAGGTACATCAATGTTCTTAAAAACAGGGTGATCCAGAAGACGTTGTCATTTCAATACTACTGGACCAATCTTCTTGAAACTTGGTACAGATCTACTCCAAACATTATTGAGTATCACAAATATAAAACTTTGACTATTTGATTGGCTCATTTCATGGTTACTATGGTAACCCAATGTGACATATACCTTCAATATCAATCTTCAAGACAGCATCTTTGAATGGTATCACATCAAGTAGGTCATCCATCAAGATACTTTGTACCTGCAACAGTTATATTATATGACATGTATACTTATTAATTGTGCAATCATATAGTACTATAAATATAAAATGAATTGATATGAGAGAGGTTTATCACAATGGTTTATAGCTAAAACGCATCCGCTACCGCATCTCGTTTAAATTGAACTACTACACATAAATCTGGCATTAGGGATTTAAGAAATGTTTGGCTAAAAATGTTATGCGAAAACCATATATTTATTGATCTTTTTTACAATAATATACGAATGCATGGATATTAGAGAGGTTTAGCACAAAAGGTTACAACTAAAACGTATCTGCAACTAACCGCATCTCAATTTAATTGAACAACACAAGAATCTGGTGAATGTGTGACAGATTCTAGATGTGTTGGGCTAAAAACATTGTGTGAAATCTCTTTATTGTTGAGAAGACAGGAAAAGAGTTGTAGTCAGCACTCTATTGAAATTCAAATGTTTACCCAATTATTCTTACTTAGAGAAAGAGTTGAGTAAAAATGACAATCTTGTGTGTTAAACAATTAGCACAACATTTGTTTATGGAGTAACTTAGTCGTGAGAGTATCATAGCCTATTGAGTTTCTGTTTTGCTAATAATGGTGCTTTTATATTGTTCATGATTAAATAAGTCATCAAAAAGGGAAAATGAATGAGTGCTTGACACTGACACAAAGTGATGTTTTAAAAAGCAGTGCACCCATTACTTATTGAATGCCCCACGTACCTGTACAGTGTTATTGGTCTGTTTCTTCTTTGGATCTGTAGTTATATGTGAATGTCCCATGTTTCTTGTCCATTTCTGCATCGTGACAGTCTCTCTTGTATTAGAAACAGCGTTAGTGATGAGCGTGATATATCCTTCAAGTTTATTAATGCGCGCAGCACGATGCAATTTCTGATAATTAAAATCCAATGGCTCAACAGCGATTACCCTCCGACCGGAAGCCGCGACAGTTAACGTATGTGTTCCAAAGTTTGCACCGATGTCTATAAACCCCAAAAGTGGATCTTCATTAAGAGCTGATATGATTTTGGTGGAAACATGATGCTCCCACGCCCCTCTGCTGAATAACGAGTTGGAGATGACGCCATCCACCCATATATCATCTATGCATATATAAGCAGGTGGCTCCATCTGTGAGAACACACATGTGTACCATTCTTTACTAGGCTGGGTCAAGTCATACAATTTCATACCATGTTTAGACCCAGCATTATTTGACTTTTGTATTGTTGTACTATCAACTAGTTTCTCAATTTTGTTTGTTTTCTTAATTGATTTCTTCAAATCATTGACTTCTAATGTGTCAAGTTTAATATTTTCATCAAGAGGGTTATCAATTTTGAGAATTTCCATATTATCAATAGATTTCACAAAGGTGTGACTATTTTGCAATTTCTTAGTGTCTATTTCAGTTTTTGTCTCCTCAACAACAGCATCATCATCTTCCTTATATTCATCCCCATTGTCATCATAGTATTCATCTCCATTATCATCATTGTAGTCACCTACAGTGTCATCAACTGCATTGGTTTTGGTAATAAAGTAAATCACTAAAATTAATTTCATTATATGAAGGATTCTACTTGATGCCATTTCTTCTTAATTGATTTTTATATACTATGATTATAATGATTATAAAGTTTATATCATGTATTCATTCAATGCTTATCCTTGGTTGATACGGCTGATTGTTGGTTGATTGTTGTTTAATTCAGCTGATTGTTGGTTGATTCTGCTGATTGTTGGTTAATTCAGCTGATTGTTAGTTGATTCTGCTGATTGTTGGTTGATTCTGCCGATTGTTGGTTGATTCCACTGATTGTTGGTTGATTCGGCTGATTGTTGGTTTATCCAGCTGATTGTTGGTTAATTCAGCTGATCGTTGGTTGATTTGGCGGATTGTTGGTTGATTCGGCTGATTGTTGGTTGATTCGGCTGATTGTTGGTTGATTCGGCTGATTGTTGGTTGATTCGGCTGATTGTTGGTTGATTTGGCTGATTGTTGGTTAATTCAGCTGATCGTTGGTTGATTTGGCTTATAGTTGGTTGATGGAGTCTAGATATATATCCAGTAAAATCTATGTTTGTGGGTAACTGTTTGAAATCAAATCAAATTTGGCGTATCCTTATTTACATACTTTCCAATCATCAGTAGTTACCTTCAATTTTTTTAAATGTGTTTTGTTTAAGGTGGATCCACACATTTACGAAAAAATTGTGAAACGTCTTTTTAATAATTTATGAACAATATTTAGATCTTGAACCATAAATTATGCAATAATGTGTAAACATTCACATGGATATGTGAGCAAAGTAAACCATTTTATCGGGAATTAAAATCATGAAAACAGAAATTCCCAACATGTAGACTACCTGAAGATAATCATTTACCTGGAGGTCTAAAATAAGTTGACCATTGAGTATTTATTTTTCATATTAAAACGTTATTACATAACTATGTTTCAATCAAGCAAAAAGTAGGTGTCGCCAACTTTGTTTTTACTTAAAGCTTGAAATTCCTCATTATGCAGAACTACCTTAAGAAACGTGTAAATGGACCAGCGGTTGTGAAAAAAATCAAATATTTTCTATTGATACAGGAGTTAATGAATAATCTTTTTATATGCTGAGGATTTAATTGGGATTACCAGAGAACATTACTATTTGCTCATTAATTTTTAATTGTTTAGTTTTAATTTACGGTAGTTTGCTTTATTTACACTCCATGTTCTATTTGATCAATAGAGATATGCTACTCACTATAAACATTTTTTGTTCATTTGAAAGTAGTATTTATCTAGTACAATTTGAAATTTTAATTGAACTTTTTTGAGCTAGAACTAGAGGCCCTGTTACTCAAACCATTTTCTGCACCTGTTATTTAGTACAATTTATATATTTGTGGGCCATGAAATCTGTCTGCATTCATATTAACATTCTACTTTAACACACACTTCTGGATTTAATCACATAGTTTATTTCCATACTTTGCCTAAATATTTATTTCCTTTAAAATGTTACACTATTCTACATGCCCCTTTACAACCACACCAATGCAACCACATTACTTATGCCATCCACCCCTCTACTTTGACACACATTTCTGGGTTGAATCACACTAGTTTATTTTCATACTTTGCCTAAATATTTATTTCCTTTAAAATGTTACGCAGCCTACTCTCTATACATGGGAGTTATGATATGGGAGGTTCTGGATATGATTTATATCTTGAAGGAAATATAAACATCATGCCGAGGGCCTGGATGGTTCAAGGTAAGATATCACTGGAATGGGATACTGAGTTTTACCAATATAGGCCCTCCTTGGGAGGCTCTATACTTGGAGAGAAAACGAGGGCATATTTCACACCATAGTGCCATAACTGATGTATTACATACCTTTATTCCCATGGCTACTTTGTATCAATGACATCCCACGTCCGTGTGTGAGTAGAATTTGATCGATATGAAACATGATGTGATATTGTCATGGATATTAAGGAATCTAATATATTAATCGGGCAATATTGATGGATATACACACTACTATACCTAACACCTAGAAATGCATAAGATACTTTGTTTGTCCAATTGTATTGTTTAGTATATTTTTGAAAGTACCTTATTAACATCTAACTTTCAACCGATAAACCATTAATAAGGAACAGACAAATAAAAAAAAATACATAATCATTACTAATAAGCCAAATGGGTTGCTCATGAACACCAAATGCAAGGTATAGTAGAGTGATATAGCCCGCTAACCCAACAAATGTTTCGCTAGGTATGTTACACAGCAGGATATGCAATGGTAAATATAGATACACCCTTCTTCCCTTATATACATATTTTCTATATCCCCTGAACCTCACTAGTCATTGGATAAATTACCATAAGGATTGAGTCTCACCTGTAATTCTGCTCCACGCTTCTCAAACCTCCGTTCCTCTTCATACGTCTTTGCCCCCATCTCGGAAGATTTTTCCACCATCTTGGACAGCGCAATATTTTTGTCATGTAACTCGCTCGTCAGACTTTCAAGTTCTTTTTTCATACCAGAGATTTCACCAGCATGTGCCGTGTTCAGAGAGTAGATCTGTTCACGAAGCTGTAACGAGAATACAGTAAAACCTGTGTACACAGCCAATATAATTCGGCGCCATTTCGGCATCGAACAAATTTGGCACCGTTCCGGCACCGTTTTGACACCGTTCCGGCACCGAAACCTTTCGACACCAAAATTTGCTACCGGACTAGTCAGTCCATTTGGTGCCGAAACGGCACCGAAATGGCGTCGAAAATCAGATTGCATTTTGGGTGTGTATATCGAACATCTTTCAGCGGAAATAAAATTCAGTGTTGTTGGTAAGTGTTCACTACAGACTAGTACAAAGGGTAATTTATTCAGAAGTCAGTATACAATGTACATGGTACCATACCTGGGTAATAACAGAACAGGGCAAGGAGTAAGGATGGATGGGGAACTATCGATAGCACCATGAGTGTAAATGAGTTACAATTTCCAATTTTTTCAAATGATTTTTCCAAATGTCCAAGTGATAATTTTCTAATTTTCAACAATTAAACAAACAAACAAACAAACAAACATACATACCTTGTTTATTTCAGAATTGAGTTGTCTGGATATTGTGCTCTCTGTGTACTTGTTCTCCTCAGTCTGTAGGTAAAAGCAATGACATTCTGGTTCATTGAAAAGCAATTGGCTTATCTGACAATCAACCCATAAAAGTGTATGTTTTATATAACTCTTGGATTAAAAGATGGCGTATGGTTGAAAATCCTATCAAAAATGAATTGGATAATTAATGCAAACAACAATGCCATCTTTCTTTGGCATTGCTAAAAACTTGATATCTATAAATTGATAGATCAAAAATATTTTTTCATGATCTAGTGTCAACTCTGATGTGGTCTGTTTGAGCTGTTTTGGGTGTCAAATGAAAGACCAGGGACTTATTAATCCATTGGAAATACTATGAAGATCAAAAGTGATTCACGCACATTGTCTCTTTAAATGAAACATGTGATTTTGGAAAATATGTCCACTCAGAGGCAATCAAGGAGCACCAGAAATGAGTGGCATATTCCCTGGGAGAATATTTGAAATGCTGATCGTTGTAATCTTAGTATTTCTGATGTAACTGATTGGCAATATTTATACTAGGAAATATTGCAGTATTTTATCCTGTATTGATTAATTTGAATTTTTTTGTATTGATTGAACATCCAAAATCCATGGAAAACAGACAATAATCCCATATATGGTCATTTTACCTTTTTAGCGAGCTGTGTTTCAATGTTCACCCGCTCTTGTTTCAACTTTACTAATTTCTCTTCTTGAGATTGTACTTCTCTTTTTAACTTGGCCTCTGATTTCTGGACTGTCCTGAAAAGACAACAAATACATTCACCAAGGCAACAAATTATTTTTTGGGATTTTATGAATGGAATCCACATGAATGTGGATTATGACTCAGACACATTCGCTCAATGGCAGCCATACGGCCGCTGTAACTTCAAAAAAATCAATTTAGAAAATCTACATTGAACTGCTTATCCCTACATTTTAAGCAGCATATTTATCTCGATTTTTGGAAGCTATGACGACCGTACGGTTGCCATAGATCAAATGTGAATGAGACAATAGCTATTCATTGGAATGAGTTACTTTATAATAAAAAAATAAAATAAAAATAAAATAAAAAAAAAACTTTTTAGAGGATATGTGATCGGATAAACTGTTTATCATAAACAGCAAAGAAAAACAACAACAACCTAAATGTTTACAGCACTCTTGATACTTTAAGAGACACTATACAGGGTGATCATGAAGTAAGATTATGGGCCACCTTCCATTTAACGTTCCGTCACAGACCTCATATTCTGAGAGATTTGCATATGTCACTCTACTATACCTAACCCAGGCCCGTAGCCAGGGGGGGTTTGGGGAGTTCGGGCGAACCCCCCCTGGCCAAAATTTCTTTCAAAATCATGCAGTTTTTCACCATTCTGACTAATTTTTGAGTGATTTTTGGTCATATTTGCCAAAGTGAACCCCCCCCTAGAATTTTTTAGAAAAACGAACCCCCCCTTGGAAAATTCTGGCTATGGGCCTGTAACCCCTAGAAATTCATAAGATACTCTGTTTGTCTAATGATTGTTTAGTATATTTTTGAAAGTGCCTTAATAACATCTAACATTCAACCGATAAACCATTAATAAGGAACAAACAAATAAAAACAAATACATAATCATTACTAATAAGCCAAATGGGTTGCTCATGAACACCAAATGCATGGTATAGTAGAGTGATGTGCCTATGCATTATTATATCAAACTTCAGTGATCAAAATAAAATCAGAACTTACATAATTGACCAAAAAAAGTATTACAAAATCATGTTATATTATTCAATTTTGAAAATCTGTGATAAAATTATCGTTCCCAATACTCCTTAACATTACAAGGCAACAAAACAAATTAATAGTAAAACTAGAAACACTTAAAAAGTACTTCTTCAAGAATTTTTAAAGCTGTAGAAATTCTCAATTAATGTTAGAAAAGTTTGAAACCCACTTTTGTACTCTTTGAACTTTCAAAGGGAAAATCAAGGACTATGCCATTGACAATATTTACACCCTAACAAAATTTCAACTTTTCAATGTATGTGGGCTTACCCTCATATCTTTATATAACTAGAAAAACAGCAACTCCACGGAGTAGCTAAACCCACCGAACAAAACATATTGTGTAAATGTTGAAATGTTTGTGCACTTTGTGATAGAAGCATGAAAGGCACAAAGTAAGTTTATACCATTGTGAACTAGGCATCATCATATAAAATTTGAACCAAATCCGTTCACTGGTATATGAGTTATCAAAGATTACGTTTTTTACAAAAATTGGCCGCCATCTTGAAATTCAGCCGCCATCTTGAAAATTATTTCTTGAACAGAGCTTCTGTGTCCCTAATAATCATAATCATATAAAATTTCAACCAAATCTGTTCACTGGTATTTGAGTTTTATATGAAAAATTGCCGCCATTTTGAAATTCAGCGGCCATCTTGAAAAATTTTTGTCGAACATAGCTACTGTGTCCCTTAGCATCATCATATACCAAATCTGTTCACTGGTATTTGAGTTATCAAAGATTACATATTTTTACGAAAAATGGCCGCCATTTTGAAATTAAGTGGCCATCTTGAAAATCTCTTTTTGTGCGAAGTTCCTTTGTCCCTAGGCATCACCATATAAAATTTGAACCAAATCCGTCAACTTGTATTTGAGTTATCAACGATTACATTTTTACGAAAAATGGTGGCCATTTTGAATTGAGCAACCATATTGAAAATTCCTTCTCGAGCAGAGGTCCTACACTCATAAGGCATAAGCCTATAAAATTTGAACTAAATCCGTCAACCGGTATTGGAGTTATCGCCCGGACGGACGGACAAACGGACGGCTTCTCTATATCCCACTCGAACTTCGTTCGGTTGGATAATTAATTACTCACTGATAAAATCACAGGCACAAGTTTACTTTCTAATGACGTCAAAAGTGCAATTGTAGTTACTGATGACATCACAATTGGTGGAATACTTACTCACTGATGATATTACAAGTGCAAGTGTACCTACTACCTACTACAGGTGTACTTACTAATGACATCACAAGTGCAGGTGTATCTACTGAAGACATCACAAGTGCAAGAGTACTTACTGATGATATCACAAGTGCAATGGTACTTACTGATGACATACAAGTGCAAGAGTACTTACTGATGATATCGCAAGTGCAATGGTACTTACTGATGACATCACAAGTGCAGGAGTAACTTACTGATGATATCGCAAGTGCAATGGTACTTACTGATGACATCACAAGTGCAGGAGTAACTTACTGATGATATCACAAGTGCAATGGTACTTACTGATGACATCACAAGTGCAGGAGTAACTTACTGATGATATCACAAGTGCAATGGTACTTACTGATGACATCACAAGTGCAGGAGTAACTTACTGATGATATCGCAGGTGCAATGGTACTTACTGATGACATCACAAGTGCAAGAGTACTTACTGATGATATCACAAGTGCAATGGTACTTACTGATGATATCGCAAGTGCAATGGTACTTACTGATGACATCACAAGTGCAGGAGTAACTTACTGATGATATCGCAAGTGCAATGGTACTTACTGATGACATCACAAGTGCAGGAGTAACTTACTGATGATATCACAAGTGCAATGGTACTTACTGATGATATCACAAGTGCAGGAGTAACTTACTGATGATATCACAAGTGCAGGAGTAACTTACTGATGATATCACAAGTGCAGGTGTACTTACTGATGATATCACAAGTGCAATGGTACTTACTGATGACATCACAAGTGCAGGTGTACTTACTGATGATATCACAAGTGCAATGGTACTTACTTAAGTTCATCCTCTAGGTCTTCTATTTGATGTTTGAGCATAACTGTCTGTTCTGTATCTTTCTTCTGGCACAAAAGCTCAAGTTGTCTGGAAATTTGATATCATTATTGAAATAAAATACATTAAATAATTTAGTAGGCAATAATATATCTCTAATTTGTTTAGTATGATACAGTACAGTTTAATGAACAGGAGTGGAAAGGGTCAAATACAAAAAATTATCGTCCAGGGGCTGATCAGAAAACTAACTAGGGGGGGGGGGCAAATTTCTGAAAAGTCTGAAAAGTCTGAAAAAATCTTTGTGCGCTTGGGCCTCTAAAATTTAGAAAATTGAAAGCCCTTTTCCTTGATAATTTGGCCTAAAATCAATAAAAAATAAGGCCCAAAAGGCCTGGTAATGCCCTAAAAGTTTTAAAAGCAATAAGAATTTTGACTGGAAAGGCCAACCTGTATTGCTGTACCTTATTCTTTTGTCCTTGAGTTGAAGTTCCTGCTCCACATGGTACATGTCCTTGTTAAACCTCTGGCCATCATTTTCTGCTATATTCAACATATCTGCCTTTGACCTCACTTCTAGCTGCAGTTCCTTTAGAGTTTCTTCAAGTCTCTACAAATAAATACATATTGTATATTGTGCATGTATATTGTATGTTTAGACTGCATTGTACATGTATATTGTATGAATTGACTATTGTATACGTACATTGTATGTTAAGACTGCATTGTATATGTATATTGTATGTTTAGACTGCATTGTACATGTATATTGTATGTTTAGACTGCATTGTACATGTATATTGTATGTTTAGACTGTATTGTAAATGTACATTGTACAGTGCAGCCTGTTAAGTGGAGCACCTCTAGAGGTGGAACACCTCTGCTAGTGGAACACTTTTCAGAGTCCAAAGTCCAACTGAATTAATTATAAATGAACCTCTATAAGCGGAACACCTCTGTTAGTGGAACACTTTTCAGAGTCCCAAGTCCAACTGAATTAATTTTAAATGAACCTCTATGAGTGGAACACCTCCCAAGTGGAACACTTTTCAGAGTACCAAGACCAACTGGCTTAACCCTACTATCACACCAAACTAGTTCTCACTGCGTTCTCGAAAACGGCTTCAACTGTATACGAACGGACTGGACCTACTAAGAACCGTTTGGGATCTATTTACAAACTTCATCAAACGTACTCGAACGGGTAGGTCCTCTAGAACTTAGACAATGCTCAAAATGTTCTCGTGGTCGTCACGTTCTACAATTAGAACGAGTGACAACGTACTAACGACGAGCTGGACGTACTACGAACGGAACCGTCGTACTTCAATCCTACTAGGGACGTTTTAACAACGAGTTGAACTGTCTGCGGACGTGTTGAGAACGAGGTAGAACTAATTGCAAACGGGTTTAAACTGATTAAGAATGTATTTAACACTGCTTATGAACGAGTTAGCAAAAATATAGCTATCACACCAAACAAGTTGCCACTGCGTTCTTCAAAACTGGTTTTAAACTGTGTGCGAACGGAATGAACGTAGCTGCAACTTTCTAAGGTCTATTTACGAACTTTATGAACGTTCTCAGACGGGAATGTGATTTTAGAATTTTGAATCGATTCAAAATTCGATGACGACCATACCGTTCTGTAATCAGGTCATGTTGACCTTCTAGACTAAGGGACGCGTTCTACGACGTTGCACTCCGACGTGGTGCGACCTGAACGAACTGCGAACGAGATGGACGTATTGAAGACTGTTTAAGAACGAAGAAGCTAATCATTTCAGACAAATTTCCCGACCACAGCCAGATTGAGCCCGTTTGACGACGTTTTCGTAGGACTGGCAAGAACGGGTAAGAACTAGTTTGGTGTGATAGGGGGGTTATGTTAAATAAACCTCTATAAGTGGATCACCTCCCAAGTGGAAACCTTTCAGAGGTACCTAAGGTGGTCTACTTAGACAGATTTTACTGTAAGTGTGGACTGCTGTTTATTGTATGAATTGACTGTATTGAACATTTATCTTTATGTGTAGACTGCACTTTTGCGTATGTTGATGTATGGACTGTATTGTATGGGAGAGTGCATTGTGCTTGTGTATTGTATTGTGCAGCAATATTGTACATGGAGACAGTATTGTACGTGCATATTGTACAAGTACACTATATTGTACAAGTATATTGTAAATATAGATTTTACTGTTCACTCTGTACCAGAGTACTGTACCACTAGTCAAACACCCTGATTGAACCCAGGCCATTTCCTCAGACGGAAACCTGATGTAGAATTGTGCAACATGAATGGTAATATGGATGCAATGTTTTGTTTATTTTCTTACCTCCTTCTGAGAGAGCAGTTGTTTGAGATCCTGTTGTAAAGATGCACATTGTTGGGAAAGGTGCATCTCGTTAACTTTGAATTCCTCCTGACTGGCCCTAAGTCTGTCTAGCTCAATATTCTGAAATAAGATTTATGATTCAATGGCAGAAAGGATATATGGATTATCCTATATGAGGGACAGGATATTGGGATTATCTCATTAACTTTGAATTCCTCTTGACTGGCCCTAAGTCTGTCTAGCTCAATATTCTGAAATAAGATTTATGATTCAATGGCAGAAAGGATATATATAAGGATTATTCTATATGAGGGACATGGTATTGGGATTATCTTATTAACTTTGAATTCCTCATGACTGGCCCTTAGTCTGTCTAGTTCAATATTCTGAAATAAGATTTATGATTCAATGGCAGAAAGGATATATATAAGGATTATTCTATATGAGGGACATGGTATTGGGATTATCTCATTTACTTTGAATTCCTCCTGACTGGCCCTTAGTCTATCTAGCTCAATATTCTGAAATAAGATTTATGATTCAATGGCAGACAGGATATAAGGATTATCCTATATGAGGGACAGGATATTGGGATTATCTTATTACTTGGAATTCCTCCTGACTGGCCTTTAGTCTAGTTCAATATTCTGAGATGTATGCATTCCATACTCTGACATGTTTCAGGTATAAAGAGAGGTTGGAATATAGCGAATGTCCTATATGAGGTTCAAGATATTGGAATTATCCCAAGGCTAATATAATTTATGTCACCTCAGCCAACATGTAAAGCTACATGTATATCATACTCACTATTAAAAATGCAACATTTTACAAACTTGTTGTATAAACATTTATTGTGTGATCTGTAAAATGAAACCCTCTGATTGGTCAGTTCTTGTGCTGTACCAATCTGTATTGCTACTGAGATTGATCATTACCATAGCAACACAGGAAATATTGGTACGGAGGGGACAATCACAGTAGCAATACAGAATACAGAATATTTCCTAAGGATTACTTCCTAAGTAAAATGTATTGGCCTAAGATCACACGATAAAAACGTTATAGAATGATTTGAAGTGCAATACAGGATATATTTTGCTCTTGATATTCTCTATTAGCACTCGAATTCGTCTCCTGCCGATACAGAATTTCTTGAGCAAAACATATCCTGTATAGTAGTTCAAATCATTCAATAACTTATAGTCCATATATGGAAAAAATAGCTTTGCATGCTGGGTGAGTGTTACCACGGAGATATGAAAATGTGGGAAAAATGCAATTTGCCATAAATGTATCCAAACTACACGGTTCAAACTATGATGAAGCTATGGGCCTGGTATACCTGGGTTTCAATAATATCTTTTGATCTTTCCAGTTCTCCTTCTAGCCGTGATATCTGAGATTTAAGCGTCACCTCAGAACTTTCTAATAGATGGCGCCTCTTCTCTAACTCACTTTGATAGCCCGAAGACTGGTGCTGGAAAATGCATGATTTTCGTCAGACACTCATATAATATAATCACCATGTTGTGTTTTTCAACTTTGCCACACCTAAAACTTGAAAAAATTCTTGGCGAGGGGCAGAAGTTTGGGAAGGCAGAAAATATATTGATATATATGATTAAAGAAAAGAATTTACAAAATATTAGATTGTTATTAAACTTTGAGGATAAAGAAGTTCATGCACTTTTTTGGGTCATTTTGCAGGTGAATTACTGAATTGAAGTTTTCATTATATGACATATCTACCTAATTTCAGGCATATTTACCTGATTTCAGGCAATCTACCCGATTTCAGGCATATTTACCTGTATAAAATCACATTTTTCAGCCAACGTTTTTCTCTGAGATTCTAAGCTATCAATTTGTGTTTGATAAGTTGTTTTCTGTAAGTCCCATTCTCTACTTTGTATCCTGTACTCCTGTAATAGAAAACAAGGCATTAAAAACCTATTGATTCTGAAAGAGTATATCATATGCTTTAAAATGATTTATAACACTACGTATGTACGCCCATGTATATACTTTATATATATCTCAGAGGTACCATATACAAGGGCCGATCAAAAAGTTTCTTACCGTTGGCTCTCAATTTTATAATAAGAGGAGTTGGAAGCTCAAACTTTAACATGAGACAGGATAGTTAGTTTGCTTGAAACTGTACGAGTTTCATATAAATTGGTTTATTGGTAGTGACACAGAGTCAATTCATATTTTCAATGACACAGTAAGGTGGAGCAGTGTTGTATATAAAACATCTGCCGAGTTGTGGTTCTGGAAATTTACCGAGATCGTTTCAAACCTCTCATACGAAGGCCTTAAACATGTGTTTTTGGATCGAGTGGACAGATATAGGAAGTGCATTGCAACTGGGGTTAAATATTTTAAATGAGAATGAAAACTAGCAGAAAAACTAATAAACATGATTAAACTACAGTCTGTTGACAAATGACACTACTTAGTGTTAGAAATTTCCAAAACTGCAGCTTAGCACAATTTTTTATAAAAAACGCTGCTCCACCTTATTCAATCATTGAAAATATGTATTGACTCTGTGTCACTACCAATGAACCAATTTGTATGAAACTCAGACAGTCTCAAGCAAACTTACTACCCTGTCTTATGTAAAGGTTTGAGCAATCAACTCCTCTTATTATAAAATCTAGAGCCAACGGTAAGAAACTTTTTGATCGGCCCTTGTATGGCAATTTTCAAAAATTCTTCAGTATTTTAGTGCTTTTTGCCCCAGTATTGAATGAGTTAAAACTTTGGAAACATTAAACAAATCAAATATCACATCTACTAACATGTTGTATCATGAAGTTTTTGATATTTTCTTTGAATTTAGGAGATTTTTGAAGCAATTTTTACATGTTAAAGTACACAACAAAACCCACTGAACTTTTCGCCATCTATTGATGGCCTTAAAGTGTGCGCCAAAGTTTAAAACTGCGCAGGCGCACCGCTCTCGCTAACCTATATAAAGAGACTACCAGGTACAGGCTTCAGAGGTAAGCCAGGAAGGTGAACAATCTTTGTTCCGTGTTGATTCCCCGTATAATCGTAACCAAGTTTCACCATTGAAATTAAAAATTACTATTAGATATACTTTGTAGATGTTATTTATGAAGCTATTTAGTGTATGCATCAATCAAATGGCTCATTTTGAACGTATAAAAAGTATTTGTGTTTTGTTTCCTAGGGAATTGTATTCCCATGTAGTACACACATAAATAGTGTACATTATGTAGTACTTGAATAGCCTGGTTTACATAATATTGAAGGGCATGCTGATTACATGCACACGAGTACATGCATGAAGGCCTAATATTGATATAGCTTGCATACCTAAATAAAAATAAACTCTTCTAATCCCCTAATGTAAACTCGGCGGTATACGTAGCCCGATTTATCGGGGACTTTAAAGCCACTGACATAGACTAAGTATACTTATGAGTTACAAACCTAGCAAAGCAATTATAAAACAACATTTGATGTTGAGAAAGTTTATGGCAGCTGTAGAGCATTTATAACGTAGTGATAACAACTAAATAAAAGTGCATGTATCAGAGGGGGAGAAACACCAGGGTTCAAAGATGACATACCCTTATAATGTAAATCTGTATTGAGATGACATCGTCGCTGATTGGTCAAAAGTCGACAAACAAATGACGTCATCAATGGCGGTTTCAAAATTTTTGAAATACACTTCGAATAATATTATGTTCATTTCTGGCGTGTTAACCAATATCATAGCTTCTCATTTCACATCAAGATAAAGAAAGGTGTACGGAATATGCCTATATCAATTAAAACATCCCATCGAAGTGTAGTATTTGATAACTAGCCGATGAAAATTCGAACGAACGAAGGTGGTAAGCAAGAGAGGTAATTATGTCTGTCATCTTTAAACTCTGGGGCTTTCCCTCCTCTTAATGTATTGATTTTCACCTATTATTGACAAAACCTTTTCCCCTCAAAATGTGGTCTTTCGAATTCCCAAGTATTTCTTTATTTTCCATTTTAATTTCATAACCGCACGTTTTTAAGAGAGAATACGGTGGATACAACATATGTAACTTCTTAAAGGCTTCTTGTTATGATGAAGCTACCAACTTCAGATGTTAATACAGATTAAAATATAGGTGTGGTATTTAGGGGGGGGGGGGGGGAATTGGGGGGTTAAGGCTGTTTTACCTCTAATTGTTTCTTGAGTCTGTCAATTTCAGATAAACTTTCCTTCAACTCAAAACTTGTTTTCTGCTTTTCCTTCTCTGTGTCTTTCGAATTCTTCCCGTGTTTTCGCTGTAGTTTCTCATAAGCTTTCCTCAAATTTGTCGCCTGAAGGAACAACACAATATATTATATCATTTGTGTCATCTTTTTCAACATTACAAACTTTGTGAAATCTTTCCTTCAGTTTTCAGATACCATGATATAATGTATAATAATTAACTATTATATGATATAACTAACTCTTTATACAATATGGCAAAATGCCGCGAAATCAAAAACATGTTCACTATACACAGGTTTTACTGTATTAGATTTAGCATTAGCAATCTGGAGGGTCTCAAAATTAAACAAACAAAAAAACATTTTGATTTACAATTCATCACCATGACAACAACAGATGATACAAATCATACATAAAGCATTGAGTCCTGTGCTCCAATGCTTTTATGAAATTACACCCTCTCCATAAGTTTCGTTACTGGAGACTAGTCTTCATTTAGTAGCATGTTCAGTCTGTTACTGTTTCAATCTTAATTTTGTTCATGAAATAATCTGGAAATGTATGACTGATTGTATTGTATTTTTTTTTGTTTTTTTGTTTACCACCAATGAAGGTGAGCAATACCTCTTGATGAATTCTTTTAAATCACCACAAATAAACAGGCTTAATGCATGATCCGAAAGGAGACATCTGGTAGACATACTTATGAAGGGGGGTGTAGTACATTTTACAGTTATTACCTCTCCCTTGATATGGGCCAGTTGTCTTTCATACTCTATCACCATATCCCTCTGAGCTGTTTCCTGGCCCTCAAGTTGGTGCCTCAATTGACCAATCTACAAAAACACAAGAAATGTTACCACTTAGTTGCAATTACAAAATGTCACCATTTGGCTGCAATTACAAAATGTCACCACTTGACTGCAATTACAAAATGTCACCACTTGGTTGCAATTACAAAATGTCACCACTTGGTTCCAATTACAAAATGTCACCACTTTGTTGCAATTACAAAATGTCACCACATGGTTGCAATTACAAAATGTCATTGCTTGGCTGCAATTACAAAATGTCACCACATGGTTGCAATTACAAAATGTTACCAAATGGTTGTAATAACAAAATGTCACCACTTGGTTGCAATTACAAAATGTCACCACTTGGTTCCAATTACAAAATGTCACCACTTGGTTGCAATTACAAAATGTCACCACTTGGTTGCAATTACAAAATGTCACCACATGGTTGCAATTACAAAATGTTACCACTTAGTTGCAATTACAAAATGTCACAAATTGGTTGCAATTACAAAATGTCACCACATGGTTGCAATCACAAAATGTCACCATATGGTTGCAATTACAAAATGTCACCACTTGGTTGTAATTACAAAAATGTCACCACATGGTTGCAATTACAAAATGTTACCAAATGGTTGTAATAACAAAATGTCACCACTTGGTTGCAATTACAAAATGTCACCACTTGGTTCCAATTACAAAATGTCACCACTTGGTTGCAATTACAAAATGTCACCACTTGGTTGCAATTACAAAATGTCACCACATGGTTGCAATTGAAAAATGTCACCACTTGGATGCAATTACGAAATGTCAAGGCATAGTTGCAATTACAAAATGTTACCACTTGGTTGGAATTTCAAATTGTCACCATATGGTTGCAATTACAAAATGTCACCACATGGTTGCAATTACAAAACGTCACCACATGGTTGCAATTAGTCAAATTCTGATACATGCATAATTACTTCTATACGTTATCATTACTTTTAATACTTAGAGATAATGAATGGATCTTAAAAATACAATATTGATAAAGAGTTAATAGTCAAATTCTGATACTTGCAATTACCATGCATAATTACTTCTATACTTTATCACTACTTTTAATACTTAGAGTTAATGAACTGATCTAAAAAATACACCTGTCTTCATGGTCATAAAATATTCAGAATCCAGGATATAATCACAAGCAATCATTTGTGATAACCAGTATCACACTACCCTACCACGTGACCACGTTTAAAAGGGAAACAGGGTACAGCTAAGTTGCAAATGGAGGATGTGGGTTTAATTCCATATTTCTGAACGTAAAATACATTTTACATTTATTTCAAGTGTTCTACCGGACATAGAATTGATTCATCAAGCAGTTTGTAGAATAGTGTTGGCAAAAAAACACTATAGGAAAAGATAGATAATAGTGGGCGCAGTGAAGCAAAACTCAAATGCAATACACGATACATTTCAGTAAATCTATCAACGTACAGGGAGCATGTAACTTTCACTTTGAAAATGTTACTTATTTTGACATTGATATGCAGTTAACTGTTATTTAAACTGTGCGTCGTCGTGTTATATGTGGATATGTTTTCTAGTATGTTATTCAACTGTATTTTTGTGAATTTAATTGTTTTCCTAAAATCTTAAGATGCATAAAAAGTCGTCCCAGAAATGTATCTTTACTTTGCCATATTGTGAAACATTTTTCCTCTTGTCACAAAGAGGATAATGTTTGTTTTGAGGTGTCTTGTGATGAGCGTTTCATGATTAAATGCAAAATCACTGGAGCAGATACCATCCAAAAACATCTGACATTCAACATGTCATATAAGACTACGTACATCGATCTGGAATTAGTTTTGAGAGTTAAAAGTATGGGTTAAGCATAGTTATAGTATTATGAATCCACTTCCTAAAAATACACTAATTGTACAGCACTATGTCTAGTCAACATTCAAAATGGCAGAGGTAACGGTTATGCGATGAACACGATACAAAGATATGTCCACTCTACTATACCTTGCATTGGGTTTTCATGAGCAACCCTTTTTGGCTTATTAGTAATGATTGTGTTATTTGTTTTTATTTGTCTGTTCCTTATTAATGGTTTATTGGATGATGTTAGATGTTAATAAGGTACTTTCAAAAATATACTAAACAATCCAATATCCCAGATGCGAGTAGAAATAATCTTGATATACGTCATTAAAAATTCACAATTCATATTTGGAATCTACATGTAAAATTACATTTAGAAATGTGGTTTTGAAAAGAGTTTATCAACTTTGAAAAGAACAGGTCCATTTAACAGACTATTGGTCCACTTAGACTTTTTCCAAAAAACTCATTTTTCCATTTACTTTTAAAACCAATTGCAAATTGTAGATTAACCTTTTTTCTTGAAATGTGCAATTTCAAAAAGTGGCATTAGTTTTCAGATTCTTTGAAAAATTGGCAGTAAGAACCCCTACCACAAGACTGTCTGAATATGGGTACACACTATGTTTACCCTCAAAATAATATCAAAACTTATCATTGTATAGAATTTCTTATATGCAACATATAGCATACAAGCATTCGGAGTAGAACATTAACAAAATCCAGCTATATATGAAGTTTACTAATGCAAATCTGGAAAACATTGTAATTTTGGTTCACTTTGTCATCAAGTTTTAGCATTGTGCTCATTCCCTTTCATTGAAAATTTAACCATCAGCCCAAACTCCCACAAAAAGATATTGAAACTGTATAATGCAGAGACTGTGGGGTAGCTTCACTGCAAATATCATTGTTGTGGGAGTGTGGGCTCACCACTAAAACTTAAATTTTGTGATGAAAATAAGGCTGACTGGTTTATGTTTTCAATATGGCTGCTAACCTGGGCATAAATGTACACTACATAACTGCATGTACAGATTACACTGGCATGTAGCGGCCCTGATATCGATAAATTCTACACGCAATATAACCCGATTTTAGATGCTTGGTTAAAACTTTACACGAAAAAGCCTCGATATCCGGGCATTTACTCTTACACTGAACTGAAAATAGCATCGTCTAAACGTGTATGTCTTGGCTTCCGGGTAAGTTTATCAACATTTATACTCAATTGAAAGAGCAGTCGTGCTTATATCGTGTACCAGTTTGATTGTTTTATATGTGTGTGTATTTATAATATGATAGTCTAGTAATACCGTGTCGTTAGAACAAGTGCTAGATATCGAACTGATGACCTGAAATTAGATTATTGGACTGATCGCGCATCTGATATTAGATGATTAATTTGCATTGAATCTGATATTAACTTGCAACCCAATACTACAGTAAATACCATGACTTTACATTAGAATGATAACACGGCCTCATATTCTAATTCATTATACGTCCATTGCAGGCCAAAAATGTTTCAATGGGGATATTGTAATGCACACGAGAATACATTCGATTCGTATATATTGACACCCCAGTTGTCCGAAACCCAGTTGTCCGAAACCCAGTTGTCCGAAACCCAATTCCCCGAAACCCAGTTGTCCGAAACCCATTACTCCGAAAAATAAAGTCATAATTGACCAGAGAAAGGGGGGGGGGGCGTTGCTTACTTAAGCTTACGTCAGTTTCATGCCATGTATTTGGCCAAATTAATGGCATGGACGCATTCTGATATTCATAGATCTCTCTCTCTCACTTTGAATTGCATCCATTGTATGGCGTTACCAGAATGGCAGGAACGGGAGATTTATTTTACATTGTGATTCTAAAAAAGGTTATTAAAACACAATATATATTACGGAACAGTTTATCTTATCTTCTTCAATCTCTTTTATATAGGCAAAATAAAATGAAACATTTTGAAACAGATAAAATAAGGTATCGCATAGAACTTTAAGAATAAAACAGTATACAAATTACGTTGTCAAAATATTTCGTCGCATTTAATTTCTTAGTCTCAGTCTCTTATCAAATCGTAAAAGAATAAAACATTCTAAACTTAATCACTTGGGATTTATGTTTCGGCATTCGTTTCAGGCATTTGTTTTTTATGTTCTTCTCCTGAAATGTATTTGTTTGACAATAATCAGAGAAAGTGCGTATACGTATAAATATGCCACGCAAACAAACGGGTGTGACTTCAATTTCTTGTCTGTCTGAGGACGTATTGGGAACGAGGTAGAATTAAAGAATTCTTATGAACAAATGTATTGGCTAAGTTAATTTCTGATGGATCTGGATAAAATATATTTCAAAACTTTGTCAACACTAGATAAGTTCATTTAGGCAGATATAGTATCTTGATATATTTGGCTATCATGCGTTTAAAATACATTCCTAAAACTATGAAGACGTTGGGTGAGACATATTGCTATTGTACGTTCGAAAAGTATTTGGTTGTATTTTGTAGTTCTCAAGTTACCCATGAACTTTCGTGGGCTAATTAATGTCTTGACTTAGCATATTTAGCCTAATTTTGCAATGATGTCAACGTGATTCAAATGTTATGCTGTCGTGATTCGCAGAGGTTGCGACAAGATTCGTTTTAAGAAATTGTATTTTTTGATAAGATCCCCTAATTTTCGGAGAACTTGGTTTCAGACAACTGGGTTTCGGAGAATTGAGTTTCGGACAACTGGGTTTCGGACAACTGGATTGACCCCTATGAGGGTTGATCATACATCAATTGAACATGGAGATTTTCCTATACACTTTTCCCAAACATGTGGAATAGACTAGATGCGAGTAGAAATTATCTTGATTTATCCTATGCCAAGTAGGGTTTTAGGGAGATAAGTTGGTAAGATATATCCCGTATCCTGATTTTGAGGTTTCCATATCAAGAACCTCCACATCTCCCGTCATATCTCCCGCTTCGGTGCATATCTTCCCGCTTCGGGGCGTATCTTCCCGCTTCCAAAAAGTGGAAATGCAATAAAATGACTTTGCATATGAATGATTTGTTTATTTTTTACACCTTGTACTACTGAAAACTCTACTTGGTATAGGATAAAGCAGTTATGTACGGTCGGTTTGGATATTGGGTTCATCCCTCGTGAGATATGCACATCTACTTTCTGTCCCTACGGTCCCTCAGGTAGATATGCATATCTCCCTCTGGAAAAACCCCGTATCCAAAACCTCCCAGTACATAACCCTTATTTATCCCATGGTTACAAGGATATAGATCGAATATCACGTGAAGATATAATTGATACGTGGATGAAGATATATTTTAGCAAACAATTCCCAAATCATCGAATATCACTTTTGAAACCATCGAATATCACTTTTTGAAAGGTGATATTCGATGGTTTCAAATTGATATTCGATGGTTTCAAAAGTGATATTCGATGGTTTTGATTTTTTCAATTTTTTTAATTAATTCAGCAAAACGATTGTTTATGAATACCTAGCAAGAGCTCAAAAAGTTCAATCATCTATTTATCTCAAAAAGACCTCAAAAATTGAGCTTGAATTAGAAATATGTCTTCTAAAATCTTCCTCGCCTGGACCTGATGGGATTCTACCATCACTTATTAAGTCTGTAAGACAGTTTTTAATTGATCCGCTCTTGTATATATTTAACTTATCTTTTAAATCTGGTATTTTCCCAGACGCCCTCAAATTGGCCAAAGTAACACCTGTATTTAAAAAAGGAGTCACTACAAATCCTTCGAACTATAGACCAATTTCAGTTTTATCGGTATTTTCTAAATTGTTAGAAAAGCTCATGCACGCCAAACTCACTGGTTTTTTAGAACGTTTTGAAATTATTTTTACTTATCAATTTGGATTTCAGAAATTCAACTCTACCTACATGGCCATTTTATATTTCATTGAACAAATTCGAAAATCAACTGATTTGGGGAAAACGAGCATTGGCATAACATTAGATTTTTCCAAGGCCTTTGACACTATTAATC